TGCTGCTCAGCTGCTGCTCAGCTGCTGCTCCGCTCGGCGGCTCGGCGTTCCGCACAGGCTATGCGTCCCGTCGATCCTTTCGTCCGCTCTTTGAATCGGGGGTGCCCATCTCCATCGGGTGCGCACTCTACATCCTCGTCCCTAGTCACACACACACTCTCTCTTCCTCTCCCATTCCCTCTCGTGTGGGAATGGGTGTATGGATGTACGGTTGGACTGCTTGCGTTGTCTAGTGCGCTCAAAAGACTGCCCATTTCCAACCGCAGTTGACTGCAACTAGTGAGTGTATCGATTGGACACGCGCTTGGTCGGCATCGAGCGTGCTCTCGCCCTGGTTGACGTGCGAAGAGCGACGAGCGCCGACCCAACAGTACACTGCAAAACTATGAGCGAGCAACACAGATGACGGTGCTGCGCATTGCGGGCGCAGCATGACCAGACAAATGTGTGGGGCCGGCCAAGTCCGTGGGAAGCCTACGAAATCCGACCCGCCCTCCACCGCAGCCGAGGCGGCCACTTCAGATTGCCGGTGCAGCCACGATTGTTGACCGTGCGCTCTCATCATCTCTTCTCGTCGTCGCTTTCCATCGGGCCCTTCCAAACTTGTCCCGATCAGGGCTTGTGCACAGTATGACAGCTGTGCTGGGGCGAGCTACACGGCTCGCATGCTCCTTCTACCGCGGTGGCACGTCCAAGGGCCTGCTTTGGTCCACCTCGACCCTCGCTCCGTTCGCGCCGTTGGTGCGCGACCGTATCATCTGCCACGCCATGGGCTCGCCCGATCCCGACAAACGTCAGATCGACGGTCTGGGCGGCGGCATCAGCTCGCTTTCCAAGACTGCCGTTGTGGGCGCGCCGGATTCGAAGCTTGGGAGGCTACTCCAATCGCGCGGGGCATCGTTTGCCGGAGTGGATTTCGCCGACGACGAACAACTTGCTTCTCGCCGCGAGGGAGGATGGGATCTGGTGTATCGTTTTGGTCAGGTGCCTGTCGAACGGGGTACAGAGGTGGATTGGACAAGCACCTGCGGCAATCTCGTTTCGGCCGTCGCACTCTTCGGCCTGCACGAGGGGCACGTACGACAGTCTAGGATCGCAGAAGCTTTCCAAGAGGTGGTGGGCAGGCAGGCCGAGGTGGGCGACCGATTTGCGTTTCCGGCACGCCTGCTCGTCGCTTGCTCGGGGCAGATCGTGCGTGCCAATGTACCAGTCACCCTGCATGCTGTGGGAGAAGAGACAACGTGGTGGCCAGACTTGGAAGGGGATGTAAGCATATCAGGCGTGCCGGGAAGTGCACCGGGGATCCTCATCGAAACTCCCCTCGGCTCGGACTTGCTTCCGACGGGAAACCAGTCCGATGTAGTTGACGTCGACGGGGTCGAATACCGCGTGTCGGTGATCAACGCCGGACTGCCCACGATCTTTATTGCGTCCGACTCGCTTCGTTCCGTACTGGACCCGGATCGACTTGCTGTGCTATCACCAGCACAGTTGGATGCCGATGTTGCCCTTATGGCGCTTTTGGATAGGCTGCGCGTGGGGGCGGCCCAGCTGACACCGTGGTTGAGCAAGACACTCAGTCCGTCGGCACCCAAGATCTGCATCGTCCATCCGACCCCGCCACAAGGCTACTGCACGACCGGCGGTGAAAAGGTCGCCAAGGAGGATATGGATCTGCTCATCCGCGCAGTCAGCGTGGGCAACTTGCACCGCACCGTCCCTGCAACTTGTCTATCCGCACTCGCTGCTGCAAGGGCGTTCCCGCAGTCGACCATCGAACAATCCGTCCAAGCAAAGCCAATGCAAGGGCAGGAGGAGATCCTTTCCATTCGCGTCGGTCAGCCGGCCGGAGTCTCCGAGGCAAGCGTCAGAATCCGCCCCGCCTCAGCGGATGAACAAACCAAGGGCTTGCAGAGTGTACCCGAGTCGATCGTGTACTATCGCACCGCGCGCAGAATCATCCAGGGTCTGGTCGATGTTCCCCCCTCCATTTTGCAATCCTAGCACAAGACTCGTACCTAGACTCGATCAACACTGTCATTCCGATATCTACGCTGCAGCTTCTATCCAACGACCTTTCTGTACAGTCGGAGCACGTTCCAGCCAACGATGAACGGGATGCCCCAGCAAGCTGCGTCGCCGATCTCGCGCATGCTGCGCAGCTCGGCCGGCAGCACGACGTACCTCCCGCCTGGCTGCGTTGCGTCCACCTTGCCTGTTGACACCGCCTGCGTGAAATCGCCGCCGACAAAGTCGCCTTGCGCGTAGAAGCGGTGCATGAGTTGGTCCTTTTCCGTCCACCTTGCGCGAAGCCACGACTCGAACGCCGTCCTCTCCGCATCGCTCGACTCGGCCGGCGCATCATTGGCACCCAGCGGAGGCGTGTCGGTCTGTGCTGTTGCCACATCGGCTACCGAGGGGGCGTTGGATGAGGTGTCGCCTGCAACGGGGTCGGTGATGCGCGTAAGCGTAAAGTGCAGGTGGATCGCAGGCGGCGGGACGCCCTGCATAAAGATCGAGCGTAGCGTGTAGTAGTCCTGCCCATAACCCGCCGGTGGCACTCCCGGGTATCCGATGGTGAAATCCACAAGCCACAGATCGTCCATCTGCTTGGCGAGCGTACGCAAGCAGAAGAAGAGCCCCGTCGATCGGGGCAGCAGCACGTTTTCGAGATCCTTGATGCCCATCTTTTCCGCAAACTTGGCCGACACCGGTCGCGTATTGCCCGACACCAACGTTCCCTCTGGGAAAATAAGGAGAAGCAACTTCTTGGCCGTCCCCGTAGCCGAGGATTCTTCTCCCGGAGCATTGTGATTCTCGGAAGCCACCTGACCGAGCTGTTTGGCGAGTTGCGCCTGGTCGCTCGCCCAGTTGCGCTTGAGAAAGATGAAGCGATAGAACTGCATGCCCCAGCCGATGAAGGGGATCCACTTGAGCGAGTCCTTGAGGATGATCAGGATGCTGTCTGCAAGATCGGCGTAGTACGCCAGACACCACAGATACAGCCAGTCGGTATACACCTGGTGATTCGACATCCACACCGACCGACTCGGCAGGTCGAACGACACTACCCGACCAGTGCGCTTGTCGCGGTGCACAAAGGGTTCCGGATCGATGTAGCCGCCCTTGCCGTCGCCGATGGAAATGACTAGCTGCGTGCGGCCGAAGAACTGCGAGATGACGAGCAGCGCACGGCTGAAGGCGAGCTTCGAGTAGGCGATGTGCGAGCGGTAGATCGGCCGCGTGCGCGGGTGGAGAGAGAGCGGCCACGAGAGGAGCTGGAAGAAGTGCGCCGACACGATGCAGAAGTTGAAGACGAGCGCGAATAGGATCGTCTGCACCAGTGTCGACTTGGGTGCGCGCTGAGCGATGGGCACCGCGTGCGGCGCTGCGATGCCCGTCTTGGCGCGCACCTCGTCTTTCGACGCAGCAGCGGCGTCAGCTGGCATGGTGCGCAAGGTCTAGAGGATGAGGGTTTGATAGTATGAGCGCACGGCTGATGGAGCTGATGCGTTGCTCAGGTGATGGTGGATGGGAAGCGGCATTCATCTCTCCTTCTCCCAACAGAGGACCCTTGACTGACTGTGACTTCACTGCGCCTCGGCTCGAGCATTCCGAGACGGGCAACGCGTCCGTGCTCAGCTGCCTGCCCTGCATTCCTCCACTTTGGCGAAAGAGCATCCAGATGTTAAGACCTCGACTCGCCCAGCTAGTCTTCTGCTGCTCCTCGGTGCTCTCTCACTCGGCAGAAGAAGCATGCCTATGCCTAGCTGCAATGTGCATGAAGCTGCCACGCAGTGCAACTGGGCCGTCTTGCGACGCTTCCGCGATTCTCTGTCAATTTCGCGGCACGTCTGTATTACTTGTTGCAGCAAGACGGGGACGTTGAAACTCTAACGCAAACTGGTTCCCTCGCCGAGATAGAAGGTTCTGCCCGCCGAGCCATCGCCGACCTTTCCGAGACCGGGACCTGTTTTCGCCTCGACGACCTTTTCCACCTTGCCGGCATCGAGGCCGACGGCACGGGCGATGCGCGAGCCGAAGCTGCTGCCAGGTCCGCGCACAGCATCGCGTGCGGCGGCTGCGGCGCTGGACTCGTCGCGCAGCGAGACGCCCTGCGTGTTGATGACGCCCGTCTTGATGCCACCCGTGGCAGCAACCTGCGCTTGCAACGGCGCCCCCACGGACGCATTCGCACTTTCCGACGATCCGAGCTTGGACACCATGTTCTTGGCCGAAACAATGCCGTTCGAAAAGAGCTCGTAGTAGTCGGCGTTCGCCAGCGTGCTGACCGCACCAATGAGATGTTCCTGTTCAGGCCCACCGATAGAGTCGTCAGTACGAGTCCGGCGTGGCTTGGGTCTCTGGAAGCTTGGAAGGCACTTACATTCCATCGAGCCTTGATCTCCTCGGTCACCGTCGGACGCACGGGCGCGACGTATGCGGGCTTGAGCTGCTCGCGAGAGACGCGCTGCTTGCCCTCCTTGTCCCAGTTGTCTGGGTCAATGTCGTTGAGCTGCAGCTGGATGCGGTTGAGCGCCACGGCGGTGTCGTGCGTGCGCACGGCGATCGTGTGTCGGAAGGTGTAGAGCAGCGACGTGGCCACAAAGATGCCGCCTAATGGCGCAAGCACAAAGCGTGTTGCTGCCATGCTGATCGTTGCTCCAGACGGATTGGAGGGGAGGAGGAGGAGGTGCGAGCAGCAACGTCTCGAAGCAGTCTGCAGGTGGAGGGTCGAGCGAGGCTCATCTGCTGCGACCGTCCCGAAATCGCTTCTCGGGTGGGATCGCGGTGTGGCTTTGCAACTGGACCTCGTGATCGAGCCAGCTTGCAAAATCCAACTGCAAACAGGCAGTCCCAATCAAAATCCAGCTTGACAACCGAACTCGGTGACCAGACCAAAATTGAATAAGTCGATGCTCCGATTCGGATCTCGGGCTCCACCTGTCGAGAGGGTCAAGAAGATCCGGGCCCAATCAAGAGCTCTTCACCCCACCATCCTTGCGCTTGGACTCCGAGCGTAAAGCAAAGCTGTTCACATTCCTCTCGGCGGTCTTACGCTCCTGGGCGCGCACACCATCTTCCCACTTGGCACCCTTTGCGTCGGTACGCTTTCGACCGCCGTCTGCGTGGGCGCTCCTCGGGCTTCAGCTGACAATGGCGTTCAATCCGGTGGCCATGCTGGCCGAACGCACGTGCGCGCCCATCTACAACGCCATCGACACTGGCAACAACACGCTCGCGGTGCGTCATGCCGATCGCATCCTGCACACGCAGCCCGAACTGGCGCTGGCGTCGGCGCTCAAGGCTCTCGCGCTCGTGCGCTCGGGAAAGCGCGACGAGGCCAACACGATCTGCACGCAGCTCATCGCCCGAGGCATATCCAAGGGGCACGAGAACGCGCTGACACCGCTCACATGGTGCCTCGGTCGGCTCGGTCGGCGGCAGGACGAAGTGGCGCTGCTTGAGACGGCGGTGAAGAACAATCCGAACGACGAGGATCTTGCGCGCCAGGCTTTCCTCGCACTCGTCAAGAGCCAGTCGTTTCAAAAGGCACAGCAGCTCTCGCTCAAGATGCACAAGTCGTTTGCACAGCGCAAGCAGGGTAAAGGCCGGTTTGCGGACGAGTACTTTTGGTGGTCCATCCTGTCGTATGTGCTGCTGGCGCGCGATGCCAAGGCACCAGGAGCAGCGCTCGCACTGCCGCTCAGCCAGCGGATGATCGAAAAGCAGATCGAGGCGAAACCGCTCGGCCTCAACGACGAGGAGGCGCTCTGCCTCCAGCTGCAGGTGCTCGTCCGACAGGGCAAAAAGGCGGAGGCTTTTGAGCTCGTGGCTACCGAGAGCTCGGTGGGATACACGCTGTGCGACCGCAACCTCAGTCTGGAGTTCACGCGCACCGATTTGGCCAAGGAGCTGAACAAGTGGCAGTACGTCGAGCAGAGCTGCTGGGCGCGCATCGACGGCGGCAGTCGCAATTGGGCGCACTTTACCGGATTCCTGGATGCAGCAGAGAAGCGGGGGAAGGACGAGCTGATGGCGGCGCACAAAAAGATCAATGTGCTGCTGAGCGTCAAGGGCGCAGTCAAGGACCGCAGCGTCCGGCTGGCCGAGCTCGAGGTGTGGCGCAAACGCATGCAGGCCGAGCCAGAAGTCGAGGCGCAGCTGCATGCCAAGGTGGTGGCGTACTTTGACACCTTTGCGACCAAGGCGTGCTGCCACGAAGACCTGCTTCCGTACCTGCGTGCGCTATCGAGCGACTCTCGCAGCAAGCTCAGTGCAGCGCTCAAGGAAAGGATTAAGCCGCTGCCAGCTAAAACCGAGGCGGAGCTGCGGACGTACATCTCGATCGCCAAGATCACGCGCGCGGTGCAGGCGGAAAGCAGTCTGAGCGAAGGATCCGAGGCTGCGCTCGCCGCCGAGCTGGTGGCGCGGTACGTGGACGGGCTATCGGTGGGCAAGGATCTGCCGGATACCGAGATGCAGCCGGCGGACGACCTTGCTCTGCTGGGTGCGCAGGCGCTTCTGTCGGCGTACCGCCTTTCTGGTGGCAAGCTGGTGTACCTGTTCCAGGTGATTGGGCTGCTTGAATTCGGGCTCACCAAGAGCAGCAAGGGCTACCAGTTGCGCATGCTGCTCATTCGAACCTACACGCTGGCGGGCGCGTTGGACCGGGCCTTGATCCACTACGGCCTGCTGGGCCTCAAGAGCGTGCAGGCCGATACGCTGTCGCACCTGGTCAGCGAGCGATGCTCTGCATTCTCGGCGACGGGGAAGAATGCCAAGGCGGCGGACGAGGCAACATACAAGATGGCCGTGCGAACGCTTTCGACGGCACAGGCGATCTACGAGGAGAATGCCGGTTCGACGCCCGAGATGATCGGCAAGGCGCTCGAGCACGGCATCTACTCTCGCGTCGAGGAGTTTGTCGAGTTTGGCGAGGCGCTCGAGCGGTCGTTGCAGCGCCAGGTGGTGCGGCTCGAGGAGGCAAGATCGCATCTGCACAGGCGCGGCAACTTTGCGGACGACGAGCAGCGGAAGACGTTCGAAGCGGCCATCAGCAATAGCGTGGCGAGCGTCCGGGCGGACTTGGCGGCGGGTCTGAGTGACCAGCGCGATTATTCGGTGCTGGTCAACTACCAGCCGATGGCCACACCGAGTGTGGAGGAGCTCACGCAGGTGGGGCAACGACAGGATGCAGGATGGGTGCGCAGCATTGCACTTACGCTAGCCGACGATCAAGGAGGAGTAGGGATCGAGGAGCAGGATTTGCAGACGCTGACGGCGCGCGAGAAGGCGCTGGTGCAGCTCATGGCCTCGGCGCGCAATGGGTCGTTCGAGGCAAGCCGGCTGCTCGAGCTGCTCGAGGCGGTCAAGACGACCGCACGCACGGTAGTGGACGTGGTCGGCGGCGGAGCGGGTGGTGGAGAGCGGGTGGCGCGACCGGTGGATGCGGTGCACGAGGCGGCTCTAGCGCTCGAGGCGGTGTACCACACCGAGGCCCTGCTCGACGCCGAATCCAAGGCGGCATGCCAGACGCACCTGGCGGAACTTGCGACGCTCGTCAACCACCTCACGCGGTCGACGCAGGATACGACGAAGCCAGCGGTGCTCGAGCAGGGCCTGGCTGCAGTGGGCGCCGAGCGTGTCGCGCAGCTGATGCAGTCGACGCGCGACAATGTGGCACGCTGCTGGACCAAGGTGTTTGCCAACCTGCGCGACGCCCTGCGCGATGCGTTGTGACGGGTGGCATCGCAGCTCGAACCACACTGCCTATTGCAATCAGCAGCAATACCGTCTTCTCATCACTCTGAGCCGGACTGGCTTGAATCTCGAGCCTCGGGACGAAAGCGGGGAGCTGGCGCGGGAGGGCAGGCTGAGGACGCGCGGTGGGTGTGCCTGGCGTGATGCGGTGTGGCGCGGCGCGACAAAGGGAAATTGGCGCCAAAAGTGAGCTCAAAATTGCGATTTCTGTTACTTCTCGAACGCTTTTCCGCTGCGCCTCTGCGCCTCTGCATGCAGCAGTGCAGCAGCAGTGCAGCAGCCGTGCAGCAGCCGTGCAGCCGCGTGCATTGGAAAAAGAGTGACAGCGCGCGCGTCGAGTTGTGCAGCTCTCTCACCAGGACTTTCTGCGCTCGGCTTTCAGCTCTCGGGCCCTGCTTGGCCCTGCTTTGCCCTGCTTTGCCCCGCGCTGCCGAGCTAGAAACTAGTCGACGCACGCACGCACGCATGCAACAACGCTCCTCGTTGCTCTCTAGCCACCACCTTCACCACCACCACCATCACCACCGAGATATCCATATCCCGCGGCGAAGGATTGCTCCATCTGCCAACGCGGCACGAATTACCTTTGCCATGGCTGCGGTTGCGCCCGCCACCTCGCTCCTCAACTCCTACGCGAGTCCACCCAACACCGATGCCAGCATGTCCAACACGCGCAAGATCTTCGGTCGCTCTCGCAAGCATGCACAACCAAGCCCAGCTCCGCCCAACACGGCCTCCTACGATATGACCGACGAAAAGGTGTTCAGCAGCCACGACTCCAATCTCTCCACCTCGGCGCTCAGCTCGGCCAGCACCGCCTCGCGCACCTCGCGCTTCTTTCGCCGCTTCGGACGTCGTAAACCCCCGCCGGTGCCCTCGCTCCCGCCCGCGCTCGTGCTCGACCTCGATGCAGGCACCGCCGCACCGCGCGCTTCCGACCCCTCAAGCCCCGTCGCCACGCGCCGCCCCATCGCAGCAGGCCAGCCCAGCGCCGCCGCAGCCATCATCGCCGAGTCCAACGCAGCCTATGCTGCGGCCGAGACGCGGCCCAAGCCAAAGGGCCTGCAGCGCAAACGCATGCTCGACGCCATGGCCAACGCCAGGCTCGACGTCCACCACGCCAGGGATCTCGTGCGCATGTGCGGCCTCCACATCCGCGAGCGCGGTCTCGACACCCCGGGCCTCTTCAGGCCGTTTCGGATCGCCGAATCGCACGACCAGGTGCTCCACATGATCCAGCTCTTCCTCCTCTCCATCCACCCCTCCACCTACATGGCTGTCTTCCCCATCCTCCCCGACGACGCCCTCGACCGTTTCGGTCGCAACGCAACCGCTCCCGCCGCAGACCACAACGCCAAGGCCAGCGTCGCGCGCGACGAGCTCGACAAGGAGCTGCGCTACGCTGCGCCGCACGACGTCGTCGCCGTCATGAAGTGGGGGCTGCGACATCTGCGGTTGCGCTGCGCAGACTTCGACTCCAAGGACGCCGACGAGTGGTACGATGGCTTTGCGGCCGCCGAGCGCGCAGCCGCATACCCGGCACGCGCCATCGCCGACCTGCTCCATCCAAAACTGCCCATCGCCACCGCAGAGTTGCTCAGCGAGACGCTCGACCTCATGGCGTCCGTAGCCGCCCACTCGAGCACCAACCACATGCCCGCCGCTCAGATCTGCAAGGTGCTTGGTTTCTGGCTCTTTGGCCGCATCGGCGTCGCGCATCCGCCACCCACCGTCGACGAGCTTGTCGATGCCGTCAATCGCGCCGCGGGCGTCGCCGAGCATCTTCTGCTCGCGCACATTCGCTCCCAGGCGGCCGTCACTTTCTCGATGCCGCTCAGGTTGACCGAGCTCGTGCAGAACTATCCGCACGTGCGCCCGGGCGCACAGTGTCCGTCGCTGCCCGCCGTGTTTGCGGCGCGCGCCGTGCCGACGCTGCGCATCGACCTGCGCTCGGACAACATGGTGGTGTCCCAGTCCAAGCCGCGCACGCCTTCGGCTACGCTCGCAGACGCACTCGACGCCCAGGCCGCCGACACGATCCAGGGCGAGCACGGAGAGCTGTGGGCAGCGGTCATGATGCAGCTCGACCACCACGACGCCAGCACCAACGCCAGCCGGCTGCTCATCGACGAACACGTGCGCATCCTCGGTCTGGTGGACAAGGAACTGGCCGTGGGCGAGGAGGACACCAACGCAAGCCTTGCGAGTGCCGCCGCTGCAGCAGCCACACCGCACGGCGTGCTGGCCGACGATAACAAAGTGGGGGCCCAGATCAAGGCGGCCAGGAGGCGGTCGCAGTCGCTGTCGGATCTGCGCACCAACCTGGGAATGGTGGGGGCGGCGCAGCTGGCACCCCTGCCCGAGAATGTGCCGCGCAGCAGCACGGGTACCGCGACTCCACGCAGCTCGGACGTCAAACTCGGAACGCCGCGACGCAAGCCCGTGCCGCTGGTGGATGCCAAGTTGCTGCAAGAGGCCGAGGCGGTCGAGGTGGTGGACGAAGCTACTGCGCCAGCCATGCGTGCGAGCGACGAGG